CATTAAATTTAAAATATATACAATATTAGTTTATACTAGTGCTTTTCAAAGTAGGAGACCATGACCCCTGGAGGCATGAGATCTCAATCTGAGACTCCATGAAATATCTAAATACTGTATTTTGTAAACAATTATGTATATGTTCACATTTCTTTTTAATTCACTCAATTAAATTTTACGAAATATGTATACAAATAATAATAATAATCTGTTTCTTTTGAATTAAAAAGTATTAGTTTTCCTTGGCACTAATAAACAATGTTCAGTCCAAAGTACTTGATTCTATGTTTTCACTTCACTCTATTCAATATCATCTAAAAAACAGTGATTGACTAGTCCTTGAGTCTGAAGGAAAAAACAGCATCAATTTTAAAATTATATCTAGTTATATGCTAGTATATTGCTCAAAATCAATGCAATTTAACATACAAAAATTAATCCAATCATACAATATACATAAAATTGTTTCTAAATAAAAATGAAATATATTGTAAATACAGTCGACCCCCATATAACGTGGGTTCCTATAACGGAGATTCCTATAACGTAGCGAAAAATTGCGACAGTATTCAAATAAGGACGCTAAAAGGGACTCGTAAAACGTCGTCGCTGACTCGTGTCGCGACAGGATTGGTTGAATCTGGACTAATAGTGGATGAGCAGCCGAACTACTTTCTGCCGTCCAGCGCCACGCTACGGAGAGTTTAGGCGGGTAAATTGAGTTTACTATCGTCTGTACAGTATGTAAATTAGGTACCGTAAGTCTAATACAGCACTGTAATTTTATACATTTCTTGTGAAAAAAAAAACATTTCTTATTCAACGGCCATAAAATTATTTATATTAATGATGTCTCCAAAGTTCAGTGAATTTTTCGCAGAAAAATAACATCAGAAATCGCGGCTGCCGTTTGGTGCACTGCTCCGCGACGAAAACAAGCTTAAGCAATGGCGATGTCAAATGGTGCAAACTCAGTAAGTAATCCTACAATTTTTTGTTTATAGCATAGTTTATACAGATTATTCCCAAAAAATTATACATGTTTTGGAAATGTTGAGTCGAATTAGTCTAGAATCAATTAATTTTATGGAAGAAAACCTTTCAAACAGCCGTAGTCCGTAAACTTCACATGTATCGGGCTGCGATTGGCTCATGTATTTAAGGATTCCTACAACGTGAAATTCGAATAACGTGGAACGTATCTAAGCGTTATAGGGGGTCTACTGTACATAAAATAAATACATTTCTATTGCATTCATACTTCCATTTAAAAAAATAAATTTTAAAATAATCAGAGAAGAATAAAATTTATATGTTTTTTTCCTATTTACCTGATCCCTCCTCATTAATAATCGAACTTTTCCTAATGCTTCATTATGTAATATTTTTACTGTTCCAACTCCTCTTTCTTTCCATTCTTTATCTACAAATCTAAATAACTTAGCTCTTTCTTCAAACCATACCTGTAAAATAAATAATTGTTTCACCAAAATAATTAATATATGATCACAATTTTTCAAATATAATAAAATAAAATTTCTAATGCTCTGAATGTAAAAAAATATATTATTTTGCACATTACAGCATATAAATTACTTATAACTTTATATATTTATTTTGTTAGAAAAAGTGAAGCCATAACTGAAAACCATAGATAATAACTTTGGTAAGCATCTACACCAGTGCATAAAACAAATTTTTATCCTACAAATCTATCAGAAATCATTGTAAACAATAACTTTTTTTATTTCCATTAAATAATAATCACATTCCTAGCTTCATTATTGCTTGTAAAGTAATCTAAAATTTCTTTCTGTTGCTAATGAAATGATTTCTAGTTTGAGAAGGATTCAGAGCTTAAAAATCAAATTTACTCATTGTGACATTGTCAGACTGCAGTTTTTAATCATAATTTAATTTGAATAAATATAACTTTTGATGTAGAATCTAAAGCTGTGATTATTTTTTCTCTATGATGTTATTTCTCATGAGATCACAAGAATATTGTACACCTTTGAAGGTTAAGTGATAAATTACCCATCTATTTATCATAAGAATCAGGAAATATATCCTTTCAGTAATTTTATAGATAATTTCTATTTCAGGATTGTTTCATTGATTTTCTAAATTTGTTATTTATGTCTATTTATATTTTGTAACAAACCTTAATGAGTAATGTTTAAAATATGCATTAAATTAATGCTATTTTAAAAAAGTTCTATACCAAATTTATCACTCTATATAGTAAGGTTAAAACTTTTAATTGAAATCACATGACTTTCAGTCCAGACTGGAAGTTCATATACGGTTAATTACAGCCTCAACTCCTAAGCTTTCCTCTGTATCTGGGTCTTGATTGTCATCTAACTCAGTGTTAATTTGCATAATTTTATTGAGGAAATATATCCTTTCAGTAATTTTATAGATAATTTCTATTTCAGGATTGTTTCATTGATTTTCTAAATTTGTTATTTATGTCTATTTATATTTTGTAACAAACCTTAATGAGTAATGTTTAAAATATGCATTAAATTAATGTAATATATATACAGGTATACACATATATAGTCCTTAAATGCAATGATAAATTTTCATTCTATTTTAAAAAAGTTCTTAATTTTTTAAAATAGAATGAAATTATTATTTTTTATCATTGTATCAATATTACTTGACAAATAATGCAAGAATGCATAAAAAAACTTAACTTTCACTTTTCTGGCCATTATGTATACATAACAAGGGAAAGTATTTGTGAGATTCAAGATTTTAAGGATATTTTAATATGTTTTTAAGAAAATTTTTATATAACATTTGTCGCAATTGTTGGAAAACATTGCACAAGCTATGGAATAAGTGACACTCTCTGTCAACAAATAGACGAGACCTTAGTTGCTAACATTAGTTAGTTGCTAAATGTTAACAATTAGTTGCAAAATGATAACATCCAATTGTGAAAAGAGAAGAAAGTAAGTGACACTGTTGCATCAACTAGCTGAACTAGCACCTGTGAAATCAACCTTCGTTTCCAAACAATTGCCGATCACATAATCAGTTTCCCAGTCTAAATGCATAAAAGGACGAGACACTGAGAGTTCCAGGCATTTGTCATACGGCAGCCCCATTTGTTACATTAGTGAAAAAGGAAGAGCAAGAAGGAGCTCTATATGCCCCTACCTCCATAAAATGGACCTGATCCAATCTCTCGACAGAGAATCCTTCTCAAGACTGTAGAACAATGTCACATTAATGATCAATGAAGATTTGAGGTATTTTGGATTGATAAGTGTAAACTCTCTCTCCGCGTTCAAAAAATTAGGAATAGCCTTGTGGCATAGGAATTTGAATAGTCACCGCCTTGTATGATTTTATATTTAATTGCATTTAACCACCTACTGTATAATACCTATGTATATCTTAGATTTAGATTATATTAAACTTTATTTGTTATTAAAGTTTAAACCTGACTCCCTGTCTTAATTGAGCTAAGGACTTCTTTTGACTTACTCATCACAACCTCCCCACTCAATTATTTGCCCTCCTAACCATCCAATGACAATGTGAGTGGGTTTTACCAACCTATGCCAAATAAGTGGAATTTAGAAAACAGTCCCTTTTGCTCCTGGCTTCTCACATATTGAAATCATGTCAAATTTGACCCTCAGAGTTATTTTTGCAAATCTCCACATTTTGAGACCTCCTGAATAAAAAAATAATAATAATAATTTCTGTGGATGTGTGTGTGTTGGGCATCTATTTTGCTTAATATCTCAGGATGGGGTAAAAAGTAAAGATAAAGAAATGAAATTTGACATGGTAGCTTGCATATAAAGGGCATTGATACTATTAAATTTTGGTTGTAAAAGGTTAAGGGGATGGAGAGATAGAGGGTGGTCATGTGTCATATCTTGATACTACAGAAAACAGTGATATATAACAGAAAACAGTGATAACTTACTTTACTTGCAACAAACACTGAACAAAGTCTATTTGTTCAGTATTTATTGTCTTAAGTTGTCTATTTTTTTTTCAAAAAAAAATGAGAGAGAGAGAGAGAGCATGTTGAAATTAAGATGAATCTTAAATTTGAGTAAATATAGTATATAAAAATATAAATTAAAATATTCATTACTTTTTCATTTTCTTCTCCTGTGTGTACATCAATTTCTGCTGGTAATGGTATTGCAGGCTTGAAGTCACCACTAATGTCTCCTGTACTCTCTTGATCTGATTCTGCACTATCTGTCCCTAATGACTGAGTGACCAAGACATCGACTGGAGGATTTGAATGTGTTGATGATCCTAAGAGAGTCTGTAACTGTGAATTATGACTTATGTTTGGTGATGAAACTTGTACTTGTGTTGTAATTAAAGATGGTGTTGATAATATTGAAGGTGGATTAGTCATTCCTACTGCACTTGTCGGAACTGGAATTTGAAAAGGATGAGCAACTCCAGGCGTAACAGTTGGCTTACTAGCCCATGAAGTAGTCACAATAGTAGTTGGTTGAGTAAAAGTAGTCGAAGGTGGAGCAATTCGTGTAAATACTGATGAGCGAGTAGTTGAAGTATCTGGAACAGGAGAAACATGAAAGTGAAATTGAGGTAACTGTTGGCCTTCAGTAAATGGTAATCCAGGTCCAAGTGGTGGAAAATAGATTCTGTTTGTATCTTGAGCTGGTGGATACTGATAACGATACTGAGTCATAGGAGTTGGTTGTGAAATATAATTTACTACAGGTGCATTTGTATCTGTTACTACAGGATTAGGAGGTTGACATATATCATAATTAACTCTATAGTCAATGTCAGGTCTAGTAACAGCCCCACTTCCATCCACAAAGTATTCCCAATAACCATCTGTATATCCATTTCCTTCTTCCTCCTCTTCCTCTTGTTCAGTATGAACACTGTCAGACTTTACATGTCCTTTTAGGTGAGCATCTTTCCCAATTGATATGTGGAGCTCTTCTAATTGTTTCTATAAAAACAGAACAAACAAATGAAATTTAAAACTTCTCTAAAGAATATTACATATTGCACAACATAAAAATTTAGATATATAATTTGAAGATTATGATAATTTTATAATCAAACAAATAAAAACCAAACTGTTTGAAATATTTTCATTCTTGTTAAGGTCTTTAGAAATAATATATATTATCTAACATTCATAAAACTTATATCTTCTGTACATTTTAATCATATGATGAGATACTGCTGTCCAGAAATGAATTTCCTAACTATAATCCAAACAATAATAAAATTATTGTTTTGATGATTCGGTTTACATTTTAAAGTTTATATAAATTTGTTTTTATTATTCATATTAAAATATCAATATTGTACTGAGAAAAAGACAATTTGACAGCTTTCATAATTTATTAAAATGTACTATTGCACAAAACTAGCTTCCATACCAACAAAATTAGAATAATTAAGTTATTTATAAACAGAAACATATCAAAGAAAAAAAAATTATCTAGAATAATCATTCCAGATAGTTTTCTCATAAAAACTGCTATAAAAATTTTAATTAAAAATAATAATAAATGCAAAAGAATACCCAGCTGACAAGTTTTTTTTTTACCAAGTTTGGTTTTATTAACCTTTAAATAATATCAGCTTGAGTTGCTTGGTATATAAATTTAAAGAACTTTAATATTTCAATTCTATTTAAATTATTTCAATTTTGATTACAAAATACAAACAACATACCTTTAACTGTTCGACAACCATTTTATTCTGTCTCAATTCTTCAACAATTGCACGATTAGTTTCAATTAAATGATGCTGTTGATCTAATAGAGTTTTCACTAGAGTATCGTGAGAAAGTGCAAGAGCACGAATCTGAGCATCAAGTCTTTCTGGACTAGGTGGTAAATGCTAAAAATAAATTATTAAAATTATATCAGCTTTAGTATTGAATCTAATGTTAAAACTGAGGCAATTATTTCCATATGAATCAATGTTCTAGACACTCCAAAATACATACCAAAAACACATTTTTAGAGAATAAATATAGTGTTTAATACTAAAAACAATAAGAAATTAATGTAAAATGAATATAAAGACTAATGCAAAGAATAAATAAACATTTAACATGGCATTTTCCATGATGGAGCTAAATAAATAAAAAAAAAAAAAAGGAAAACAATGAGAATTGTTTGGCTAGACATGCAGGGTAATGCTCATGTAATACCACACTAAGCAGGAAAATGTGTGGGTCAGCCGTTGTTTTCACAAAATTATCAGTGAGGTTATATAGGCACGCAAACAAAATCCAAGACAAATTTTTCGCAGAAAAAAAATCGATGATAACTGGAGTCAACAAAAACAGAGGTATTACTACATTTACATACAATTAACTTCTATAAATTGAAAAATCTACTTGTCAATTCTATTTCCCTTAATATCACTAGATTCTAATCTTGTTAACAATCAAATTTATGTTTATTAACATTCACAAAATAGCAACGTTTTGCGATATAAAATTAATTCTAAAAAAAAATTCATTCAAAGCATTATTTTTTGGATGTGTAAAATGTTATGTCAACAAAAAATATTTTACTAACTGTTATATATTCAAAAATTACAAAAAAAAAGACATGCAATTTAGTACAAAACAAAAATCATCATTAATATTCTCTCCTACCAATGTAAGTTATAAGTTCATAAAATATGATTTTTGAATTGAGGATCTCTCTTAAAAATAAAACTATGTTATTTCAGAATATTTTGAAATGACTACGATTGCATTCTATTATGAAATTATTTCACACTATCTGAAACAGCTAGCTATAAATCAAGATAGCAAATGAACATGTTATTAAATTCATCAATAATCTAGAATCATATCAATGATATAGAAATTGTTAAATCTAGCCATTTTAGGTGCGTCCCATAAATATAAAGGCACAAGTTGTTATGAAAATGAAAGATAAACTAATCATCATATAACAAAACCAATTTAATTTTGAGGTAGTAACTACTTACAAATAAACATACTATAAATCATGTAATTATATTGCTTAACAACTTAACAATAAATTAATTTAAATCAAAATCAATTTCTCACTGTCCCAAAAATAAAAAGGCATAATACAAAGTCACTAGAACAGTAGAAAGTATTGTTACAAATCTTTAATAATACTCAACTAATAACCAATACACTTCCCCTTTTTCATTATAACCTTGTAGATACAGTCTGACACTGATTGTATAAGTTTTTGAAGGACTATTGGTAATTATTTTTTTCAATGGATATTAATTGCATGTTTTAACTCATCTACACTGTTATATTGGCACCCATTAGCATATACAGTTATAGCTAAGATTCCCTATAGGTTTTCCATTGGATTCAAATCTGGGGAACGAACTGGCCAATCAATAACTGGGACTTCATTACTTAAAAACCATCCATAAATTGATTTGGCTGTGTGGATCTTGCTGGAAAAACCAATGATTTCCAGCAATTACATCAGCCCAAGGCAAAAGATAACTGTCTAGCATGTCTTGATAATGATTTGCATTCATTCGGCCATTGAGGAATGCAATATTTGTCTTGCCAAACCAACCAAACCCACCCCATACCATCACTGAGCCTTCCCCTTGCTGCCATTTTGAAAATATTTCATCCTTACCCCTCAAATCATGCCAATAACAAGTCCAACCATCTGTTCCATCAAAATTAAACTTCTCATCACTCCATATGATGTGCTTCCACATGTATGTCCATCCCATTTTCTCCCATGTCCACTGCAAGCACTTTTGCTCATAGAAAGGGTTAGTGATGGTGCAGGCTTTTTCTTCTTATAGATGAGATGCTGACATGTACTAACAATTCTTCCAATTGTAGATTTTGATACATTAAGCTCTGGTTTTGATGCTAGTTTTCATAAAGATGTTTGGTTGCTTTTGATTTCCCTCAAAATACTACATTTTCCTCTATTTGTAAGCTTTGAAGGTCAACCTGTTTATTTCTTTTGTCTGTATTTGTCTCCAAGCTTTATAAAATTGTCAATTACAGTTGGAGAATGATTAGTTTTCTTTGCAATTGCTCTAGCTGAGTAATTTTCATCTCTTAAAGCTGAAATCTTGCCTTTTTAAACATCTGTTAAGGGTTTTGCAAATCCCATGATGAAGAAGAATTCATTTACATCAATACACAACAGAAATAAACATTTGAAATACATGGTAGTTATACTGTAGTACTGTATGACCTCTATTGTTAGAAAACTGAACCTGCCTTTATATATTTGGAATAGCAAGAAATGTGATTTTGATTTAAATTAATTTATTGTTAAGTTGTTAAACAATATAATTACATGATTTTTTAGTATGTTTATTTGTAAGTTGTAACTACCTCAAAATTAAATTGGTTTTGTTACATGATAATTAGTTTAGCTTTCATTTTCATAACAAGTTGTGCCTTTATATTTATGGGATGCACCATAATAACTGATATAAATTTTGATAAATATAATAAAAAGTAGATTGATAATATTAATGTTGTGCTTTCTCAAAACAATTTAACAACTGATTAGTCTCTAATGTTGAAAATAAAATGTTTATCAATATATTTCTATTAATATTCTTTATAATGCCAATATTCAAGTTCATTGCATATCAAATTAATGAAAACACTATACAGCTCGCCCTTAATAGTCCAACAGGTATGGGACCAAAGGGGTGTTGGATTACCAAAAATGTCCTGATTACCGAAAATAATTACATATTTTGCATTGTTTTGCTAGCAGTAGCTTACAATATTCCCTACTCCAACTGTTCGAACACAAATGCTCACAGAAAACACACAAAATGTGTCATTGTGTAAGAATTGAATGGGGAGATTCACGTCGCGACATGCTTCTGTGCAAGCAGACACATAACGGGGATGAGTACCTTGACATGAGGTGCGTCGGACTACTGAGCATGTCGGATTAAAAAACGTCGGACTATCAAGGGAGAGCTGTATTGTGAAGTTTTTAAAAAAGGAAGAATTACTAAAGTAATTGAGAATGTTTTTTTTTTATTAAAAAGAAAAACTTTTAGTTTTTCTTAATATAAAGCACTTTTCATTCTTTCATTCTATTAGGTTGTTGCAAATGAAATGGCCAATTTTTACTCCTGACTTTGAATGTTTATTATCAATAATTTAATTTAAAGCTTGCATATTCAACCAAAATTGTTTCCACTAACAATAATACACTTTTCCCAAAGCAATAGAAATACATTAATGCCAATTTGATAGAAATCACAAGAACAAGACAAAAAGTCAATAAATGTACTTTTTATCACATCCTCTTTCTTGAAGACTTTCCTTGCCAAAAAACTGTCCAAATGTATTAAAAAAAAAAAAAGGGTGATAGTCTGTTGGCAAAAAGTCTGGAGATTAAGGCGGATGGGGAAGAATTTAATATGAATACTTTCATTTTTGTGATGAATAATTAAAAAACTGAAGACCTCCAAATGATGCTCCTTATCTCTCTCATTTAAGTTTGTGTGGTACCCATTTGTCAAGCTTTTTGACTTTCCCTAATGTGTTTAGATGTCGAGAAATGGTTGAATAATGTCCATTATGCTCAACCTTTCTGTGATTTCCCGACAGTTGGTTGATGTTCCAATTTGATGATGATCTTCAATTCTAATTTCTGAAATTTGTATTCCCAGAATGAAATTTTTTGAAGCAATGCCCGGTGTTCTGCTCACTCACAGAACCTTCACCAAAAGTTTTATTGGCCTTTTGGGTTTCTTCAACTGCATTATGTTCCTGCTTACACTTGTAAAAGAAAATTATTCAATTTCCTTTATTTCATGCCATCAGAAAAAGTACTCTTAAACATGTGGAACTACCATTTTTAAATTCACATATTATATGTGTGCTCTTCCAATTGCAAACATACAGCACTATTCACATAGAAAAAAGTAGAACTAAAAGGCCAGAAAATTTATATTTTAATAAAACAGCCTTTTCATTTGCAATGATCCAATATATTTGAATGTCTATTATAAAAATGTAAAATAACTAAATTTATTATTATAAACACATCATTGTTAGACATTAATTTTGTTGAGAATTTTTCTAAAATAAAACAGTATTTCTAATATACATAATTACAGACCATGCAGCAACAAAACAATGTTTGTATGAAAAATAAAGTTTATTTAATAAATTAAATTAACTAAATAATTGATTAATTTCATAACAAAATTTAGAACACTTATCAAAAATAAAAGAACAAGCAAAGCTTGCTCTCTAAACAATTCTGGAATGAACTGGTTTTGCCATCATCTCTTACAATTGAATAGCTTTTGAAGTCCAGTCATGGCCTTGTCTTATTATTCAGAGTCACAAAAACAGGAGTCCATTTCAATACATAAAAACAAAACAGGAATCCATTTCAATACATAAAAACAAAGCACCAGTACATTAAAGCTGTATGTCCTACCATAATTTTGTCCATTATATAAACTGTGATCAACAGTGTTGGTTAGCATAATTTCACCATTTCTAACCTGTATTGTTCGTGATAAATTCAGAGTCCAGTGAATTCACATCCAGATTCTTACAGCAGTAAGCTGACATTTTATGCACAGTCATCTGGTCAAAACATTTCTAATTACATTGTAGACTTGATAAAGAACAATTAACAAATTTAAAGTACAGTAGGACCCCACTTAATGCTGCCTCGATATAACGCAGTATGCTCAAAGCCTAAGGGAAAGCTCAAAATTTATGCTGATTCAAATTATCGTGGCATCTCATTGATTCGTATATAATATAATTATTCCTGAACACAAACCAATCAGCAAAAGTACTTTCCTTAAATCTATGTTTGTTTGGTGCAATTTTGAAAAAATATAACATCGTGGATGCCATAGAAAATATTGACTTTGCTTGGCAAGAATTAACTGATAAATGTGTGAACAAAGTGTGGAAGAAGTTTTGGCTGGAGGTATCCAAGAATTCTCAATGAGAAGAGCCTATCACTATACCATTAGATTGATCAAATTGTCAACCTAATTGATACAACAGAATTAAGAGATGTAGACAAGCAGGATATTGAGGAGTTACTGCAAGTTTCTGGTGAGAGCATTACCAACGATGACCTTCAAGAACTGACAGAACAAGGAATTTGTGTAGAACTGGAAAACAGAGATTCTGAAAATGAAGAACCAAAAGAATTTCTCAACAGATGTCCATAGTAAAGTTTGGTAATGCTAACTAAAATCGTTGGTATTGTTGTAGTGAATGATCCAGATTTTGAAAGGAGTGCAAAAGCAAGACAAGCATTTGGACACAATCTCCTGCTACTGACATTTGCTTAAGGAAAGGAAAAAAAGCAACAAATGAAACTTCACAACTTTATTGCAAAATAACAAGAATTTCAGAAGAGGCAGTACCTTCATCACAAAAATTGAACTTTACATTTCTGTGTGCATATGTTTGTGTTAACATATAGTGTTGAATGAAAATGTAGTTCACTTCACGCCAGCATTTAGAAATTAAAAATATGACACTTCCGTGTTGTGGCGTTATTGACAGCGATTTGTTAAATTTCAGACATGCTCGCTAGTACTTTCAACAGTTTACAACCGTCGTCTTCAGGCGAAATCGAATACCTTTGTTTTCGAATTGACAGCTTTTAACGGAAACATTACGTAATTTAGCTTTTAACATTATGTAATTTGGAAAGTCCGTTAAAAGCTGTCAATTCGAAAACAAAGGTATTTGATTTCGCCTGAAGACGACGGTTGTAAACTGTTGAAAGTACTAGCGAGCACGTCTGAAATTTAACAAATCGCTGTCAATAACGCCGCAACATGGAAGTGTCATATTTTTAACATATAGTGTTATGCAAATTAATATAAAAATAACTTAAAATTAAAGTAAAATCTGTTTATTTTTGGTCGCGTGTTTCCCATTCCCTATTTACTGTGTGTTAAAATGACCTCGTTTAGCACTTTGTCATCTAGGAATGTATCCCCCGCGAGAAGCATGGTCTTACTGTACTGTACAGTACATATGATTTATTGTTTTCATCAGTCCCATCAGATAAATTAATTGCTTACCAATTTTATAATATCAAAATAGAACAATTTCATTTTTAATCTTGTATAAGTCTCAAAAGTTATATTTTTACAGGGTGTCAAAATTTTTATTAAAACTGTCCTGTCCTTCAGTCCAAGTTAGTGGGGGTTTACTGTATTAGAAAATTTATCAACAATTACTTTTAAAATTCAACTATTGAAACTTTTCAATAGTTGATTTTTAAAAGTAATTGATGTAATGAAACTGAAGATTATTATTTGATTTAGATTAAAAATTTTTGATATTTTAAATTTTCACAATTCCCTTAAGTTTTTAAGGATTTTTGGACATAGAAGATATTGCTATCAACAGACAAAATGTGAAGTTACATTGAAAAAAATCACTATAAACAATTTTAATTAAATGTATAAGTAAATGTTTTTAAATTCTAGTAAGTGATAAATCTAAAAAACATAAGCTAAATTATTTTTAAAATAAATTTAATATAACAATTTATTGTTCCTACTTTTTTCATTGAAGATACTGAATTAATATTTTTCCTTTGTTTTACTTTAAGGAAACTAGAAATTAAATTAGAAGTGTTGAAAGTTGACTTTTCATCCTTGTATTCCTCTTCTAAGCTTCCACTGTGAGAATAAGACTCCGATTCATCGTCATCTGTCTCATTGGCATTTCCTATTGTTCTTATACCTAATTGAATATTTATAATATAATTAATTATTATATTAGACTTTTTCTAGCTTAAATATTTGTATTAAAAATAAATTTTTCTAATCATCAGTATCTCTAATTATTTCATTAATTTCATTTTTTAAATAAACAAATATTACATGCATATACTGATAAATCAAACTAAAATAGGTATTATTGTACATTCTTTTTTATGAATTTAAGTACAAAAATTTTTCCTCATTCCATATTAAACTGTAAATTAGATATAGTTAACCATTCTATTGTAAAGGGCCAGACAATACTATTTTGATGCAAAATTGGATCAAATATCAAATTTAATGAATTCTACATTTGTAAAGGAAATTTGAATACTAAGAATAAGCAATCTTCAAAATTTATCATTTATATATAGCCTAAGGAATTTTCTTCACTGGACACATGAATATATTGTAAATTACAATGTAAGTACCTTTAAGAATCTTAATAGTATGCAAGTCACGAAAAAGTCTCAGAGAGCAGCATGTGGCCCAGAGATCTGTTTTAAATCAAATGAAGTGTGACAGAGCTTTTCAAACCTTTTATGTTATTCAGATGTTATTTTTCAATAATTTAAAAAATTTAAAAATATACTAAAGCGGACTATTGTTACAAGAATATTCAAAACATTTTATGAAAGAAAAATTCAACATTTGCAAATCACTCTGGTAGGTGGCATTTACCTGTAACAAAGACAATCAGAGTCAATGTAACTAATGCAGAGCTTTATAATGGAAACAACAAATTTATTGTAAAGAATTTAATTTACAGCATGAAAATATGGATCATTTTTACCAATGAAATACTCAAGACAGTGCGTTTTTCAATGAGAGCATACTAGAAAAATCGTTACCTTGATAATATTGTGACCGCAGGGTCGGCACCTCTTTGGCGCCCTGTCAGGATGACACCACTGTGTCTTGTAGTAGACACAGAAAAATTTTATTGGCTGTTTATTTGGTTACGCGAACGGTCGCGTTGTGGACATCTAGTTCCGGGATGGAGACGTACCGAGAGAACCAGAGGAATTACACTCTAACTCATCTAGACGTAATACCCGTTTATTGTTCATACTATATACAATCGCAATAGCTATATATAATTGGGTTAATTAACATATCTAAGTTTTTTCGGTTACCCGTATTCCTGACAGAGAGAGCTCACATATATTTCGCGCGAGGATAAATACCTTGGTTTGAATCGTTGATTAGTCTTGGGTTGAATCGTTGATTAGTCTTCACAAAGTTCTTTCGAACGTTGATACGTTTTTCAAGTAGCACAAAGTTCTTCCTAACGTTGTCGGGCGTAGTCCTTTCGAACAGCGGCGATTAGATGAGTTC